CAGTACGTTTCCCACCACCTCCCTGAAATCACTTGCTTAAGGGTCATCCACGGCCAAATCCCAGGAGCTCTCTTCCGATTCATTTGCTCCGTTGCTCCACAGCGTTGGATTCTGGAACCTGTGTCACATTCGAAACGCTCTCCTCCCTTAGCATTCGTGGCTCGCCTGATTCTCCCCCCGCTCTTTTTAATGGATTCTTCAAATTCAGTGGCTCAGCTCAACTCTTCCTCCTGCCCCTTTGCTGTGTCCTTGACCCTCACTATCGAGGAGCCCATCTCTTTATCATACCACTTGAGCCTTGTAAATTGCTCATCTCCAGCCTGGCTCTTCTGAGCTCTGGACACTCAATTCCTCTTACCTTGTAACAAGGCCACATTAACGGGTCCCTTAGGCCCCTCTAACGTAACACAGGAAAACCCAGTATCATTCTCTGCCCACTCCCCACACCTGTCCCCCATCTTGTATTAAGTAAAATCTTAGGAAATGACAGCATTATCTACTTAGTCCCCCAAGCCAATTTCATTCTTTATCCCTCAGTCCCACATCTGTCAGTTCCTATGGAAGCAGTTGGCCAGTCTTGGCACAGCAACCTCAGCACATGCTTCTCCTGTTTCTCATTCCAAGACCAGAGTTTGAGGTCAGGCTCCCATCGTCTCTCACCTGGTCCTCTATGTAAATTAAGATGTAGGTTCAGTTGGTGTAAGAAGGATGCCTCAAATCATAGGCATTAAGGAAGATAGAGTTTATTTCTCTCTCTCATAAATGCCTGGGTAAGCAGTGCAGAATTGGCACGGTGCTCCTGCAGTGATCAGAGACCTCGGCTCCTGGTCTTTGCTCCACCATCTTCGTCATGCAGCTTCCATCTCATGGCTCAGGATGGTTGCTCCAGTTCCCATCATCATATCTGTATTCCAGCCAGTGGAATGGGAGAAAAGGACAATGGAGGTCACATCTCTTCCTTCAAAAGCATGACCCATTGTATACACATTTATGCTCAAGTCTCGTTGATCAGAACTTAGTCACATGGCCTGGGAAATAACATCCATCCTAATGACAACCTGCCCAGCTAAAAATTGCAAATTCATTAAAGGAAACAGAAGAGGATGGATGTGGGGGGACAACTAGCAGTTTCTGCTGCTTCCTCCTGAGTGTCCTCTGAGCTACCTCTTATGCCTCCCCAGCTTTCCCCACTCTACCACCAAAGTCATCTTTAAACTCAAGTAGTGTCATGTGATTCTCCATAAAAAAGTTCAGTGATTTCCCCCTTGCTTTTAGGATAAAGTTCAGAATCCTTAGCATGACATTTAAGGTCCTTGACAATTTGGCCTCAGTCAAAATTCCCAGTCTGACTTCCCATTATGTATCTCCGTGGACCCTGCGCTGTGGCTGCCCCAGACGGTATGACCCTTGCCAGAATGCTCTTCTGTCCTTCTCCCTGCCTTTTCACCTGCTGAAATGACTTCTCTCTCTTTGCTTACCAAACACCGATTTGTTCTTCAAGACCCAGTTCAGATGGTGCTTCCTCCATGAAGCCTGCCATGTCCTCCAGGGAAATTTATTGGTCTTTTCTTGGAGCTACCACCCAGTTCTTTGTTAGTCTAGTTAGTTTATGTGTCTGTCTCCATCACTGAGGTTCAGTTCCTTGATGATGGGGACAATATAGCAAATAAGATCTCTTTCACTCCCCCTCAGGTTTTGTACACAGTAGGTGCTCAATCAATCAGTGCTGTTGTCTAGGGGAATGGACACATGTATGAATGCCTGAAAGCAGAGGAGATGATCATTTTTTTCTCATGTGAGCTGAAGAGAATAAACGCAGAAGTAATTCCTCATGGGCACTTGTGCCATGTGAGGCACTCTGGGATGGAGCACTTTGCTGCCAGGACTCTGAAGCAGATTTCTACATGTCAAGTGTGGACTGAGTGAGAAGTGTGGCAAGGCTGGGCCAGGCAGCTTTCCAGGGAGTAGGCTACTGGGCATGGTCTGACCTCACCACTTTCCTGTCCCATGTGCCCAAGGGCAGCCACTGGGATCTTCTGCCTGTTTCTCCAACTGCCAAGTTCCCCTCGTGCCAGGACCTCTGCGTGAGTTGCCTGCACTGCCTGGATGCCCTGCACTTGGTGCTTATCGTCCAGGTGTCAAGCTGGGAGGCCTTTCTGGCCACTAGCACTGCCCCCTCCCTATAGATAGTTACAACCCCCCCTGCTCATGTTCTCTGGCATGTGGGTTCTGCCTCCAGCCTGTGCTAAGCCTTATCTTTTTTTATCTGGAAAGGGGAGCATTCTAGGGCCTTGCACCAGAGTGTAATATGTGGACCAACAGCAGGGATATCACGCGGGCTTGTTGAAATGCAGTGTCTTCGTCGCCATCCCCAGTCCTGCTGAACTGGCCCTGCATTTTAACTGGAATGCACAGCAATGGTCTAGACCACACCGTTGCCACCTCTGTTGCCAGTGGAATCACCTGGGAAGCTTTCAAAACCATGGCTGCATGGGTTCTCTCTCCCAGAAATTCTGTTGTAACTGGTCTAGGGTGTGGCTGGGATTCCCCAGGGGTTTCTAATGTGCAGACAAGTTTGAGACCCGCCACTCGGAAGGGTGCTGTGAGGATTAAATGACAGTTTATGCATATAAATCATAATATGCAGCCCACATTATTGCATTCGGTGGCTTAAATTTCTGTTTTCCATGCAAGATGGTGAGCTCCAAAGGGCGGGGCCTCTGTCCGCCTTGGTCACACTGCCGTATCCCTCGTCCTTCAGCACGATGCGACACTTAGTAGTCACTCAGTATATACTTGTTGAGAAATGAGCTCAGACCTCGGGCACTACTGTAACTGTTTTTTAACTGCGTGGAGTGGGAAGGGGCCTGCGGTTCGTTGAATGTCTGCTGCGGGCCAGCCACGGCCATGTCCTTACCGAAGACGACCCTCCCAACTGGTGGGAGCCAGTGTGATTGTCTCCACCATACCGACGAGGAAGCAGAGTCTCGGGTGAAGGAACTTGCCCGAAGTCACACAGGAGCGGGTGGCAGAGCCGGAGCTGCCCTGCCTCAGAGTGCGGCGTGCGAGGGCTGGAGGTCGAGCTCTCTGGAGGGGAAGGTAGGACCGTGCCCTTGAGAGCGCATTAAGGAACCGTGTTTGGTTTGCTTTGTAGCTGGAGAGAAAAGACCCCTCCGAAGACAAGGAGGACATCGAAGGCAACCTGCTCAGGCCGACAGGCGTGGCCCTGCGAGGAGCGCACTTCTGCCTGAAGGTGTTCAGGGCCGAGGACCTGCCGCAGAGTGAGTGTGGCGCCCCCTGGGGGTGGGACGCCTGCAAGAGCCTCGGGCAGTTCCAGGGGAAGTGGAAGGTGGGCTCCCTGGGGCAAGGAGAGGCCTCCAGCTTGTGGGTCCCCAGGGCCCTTTCTCAGCTCCTGCCGGAGCCTCCCTGTCCTCAGGGGCTGTCCCTCTGCTCCCTCTCTTTCTCCCTGGGCCTGGCTTCCTCCCCCTGGCCTGCCCTGAGGGTCTGTTAGAGACCTCCACCCTGCAGTGTGGGGGATGCCTCAAACCGTCTCTAGGTTTCCCAAGGGTTTTTTTTATTTTTCTTTCTGTTTTTAACAACAGAAAAGCAATCAGAATTTAATGAAAAGTGGTCAATGCTGGTGGGGTTACAAAGATACAAAAAATCTTGAAAGTGAGAGCTGCCCATCGGCCCCATGCCAGGGTCCCCTGGGCTGGGTTGGCTTAGCCACTCCGTGGACTTGTTCTCTCGGTTCTCACTGGAGAGTCAGCACCGTCTGGACTCTGTTCTGCTTTCAAGGCTGGATGTTATCAATCTTCCTTCCCTCTGTGAGGAAGCTGTGGCCTGCCAGTCACAGTTGGCAGACCCTGGGCTGGGGAGTGGTTGCTGTCCGTTGGAAGGTTTGCACGAAGGACTCCTAGGGCCTGTTGTCTCTGCAGATGAAGAATGCTGGTCCCCGTGTGATGTACCATCCCAGTTTGCCTGCAACAGTCCTGGTTTTAGCACTGAACATCCCATGTTCCAGGAAACACCTTAGTCCACAGCAAACTGGGACAGTGTGTCACCCGACTTGTGGCCATCTCCTCATCCTCCCAGGGAGGCCAGCATGGCTGCTGCCTGGTTTCTCACTGTGGCTAGACTGGTGCTAGACTCACCCTGTGTGTTTAGCAAATGCTGGGGGAATTACACTGAATATTTTCAAGCCGTGGGTGCCAGCCCAGGCTTCACATTAGGCTAACCTGAGGAGCTTTAAAAAAGTACAGATGCCTGGGCCCCACCTCCAGCATTTCAGATTGACTTGGGTTGGGGGAGGGCTCACTCACTGGCAGCCAGGTGATGCTGACGTGAAATCCAGTTGTGGGCCACTCTTTTAGAGTGTACGTTAGCATAATCAAGCCAGTCACTGTCCATAGCAGAGGCAGNAGTGAGAGCTGCCCATCGGCCCCATGCCAGGGTCCCCTGGGCTGGGTTGGCTTAGCCACTCTGTGGACTTGTTCTCTCGGTTCTCACTGGAGAGTCAGCACCGTCTGGACTCTGTTCTGCTTTCAAGGCTGGATGTCATCAATCTTACTTCCCTCTGTGAGGAAGCTGTGGCCTGCCAGTCACAGTTGGCAGACCCTGGGCTGGGGAGTGGTTGCTGTCCGTTGGAAGGTTTGCACGAAGGACTCCTAGGGCCTGTTGTCTCTGCAGATGAAGAATGCTGGTCCCCGTGTGATGTACCATCCCAGTTTGCCTGCAACAGTCCTGGTTTTAGCACTGAACATCCCATGTTCCAGGAAACACCTTAGTCCACAGCAAACTGGGACAGTGTGTCACCCGACTTGTGGCCATCTCCTCATCCTCCCAGGGAGGCCAGCATGGCTGCTGCCTGGTTTCTCACTGTGGCTAGACTGGTGCTGGACTCACCCTGTGTGTTTAGCAAATGCTGGGGGAATTACACTGAATATTTTTAAGCCGTGGGTGCCAGCCCAGGCTTCACATTAGGCTAACCTGAGGAGCTTTAAAAAAGTACAGATGCCTGGGCCCCACCTGCAGCATTTCAGATTGACTTGGGTTGGGGGAGGGCTCACTCACTGGCAGCCAGGTGATGCTGACGTGAAATCCTGTTGTGAGCCACTCTTTTAGAGTGTACGTTAGCATAATCAAGCCAGTCACTGTCCATAGCAGAGGCAGTAAGAACGTTTGCAACTTCGGTCCTCTTTACAAGTTTTACATAAAGCTAATTGAGTATTTCTGCTTTGACTAATGACATCAATAAATGTCAAAATGTAGAAAAGAAATAGGTTTCTTTTTTACAAGGATTTAATTGGATGAAAATCATGGGGAAAGCCTTTAAATAAGTATTGGTTATTAAATGGGTATTAAAACACATGCTTAAAAACATTCTGCATTTATTGGTTTCAACTGTGTAGAAATGAGGTTGGTGAGCTTCCAAAGGAGCATAGGGAAATATAAATGTTTGCTTTTCTTAAGGTGAAGGAGGTTTGTGTTAAATTCTCTGCAATGCTGTTTAAATATAAATAAAAACAAAATAGATGGGTAAACAGAACATAAACATTTGCTAATTGTTGGTACCTGTTGTATTCATGTAGACATTAACTAACATGTAATCTTTAGCTGTCATCCTCTCATTCATATGCAGTACATATAAACATAACGCATCTGTACATATATACACACGTATCTATCTATATGTATATACATATGTTAGTAATCTGGCTGATTCAGTAAAATAATTGGTTTGGAGCAGCATTAAAAACTCTTTATTTTTAAACAGAATTGACTTGTTGGTTAACCTCAGGTAAATCACTGTGCTAATGATTATAAAGGAAAATGTCAACCAAGCACCAATAATGGGATATTATTATAACAACTTCCAGTCCCTTTCTGAATTGTTTACTGCCCTTAGCAATGTGGATTTATTTCTTTTTTTTTTTTTTATATTATTATAACAACTTCCAGTCCCTTTCTGAATTGTTTACTGCCCTTAGCAATGTGGATTTCTTTCTTTTTTTTTTTTTTAATATTCCTTTTTGTCTTTTTTACTGACCGGTAACGGGATCGCAACCCTTGGTGTCGCGCCCGCACCGGGGACCGGCAATGGGATCGCAACCCTCAGTGTTGTGCCCGCACCGCGCTCAGCCAGTGAGCGGGAACTGGTCTCCACATGGGATCCGAACCCTCGGCGGGAGCACCGCCGCGCTCTCAAGCGGCGCACTCTCCAGTGCGCCACTGGGCCGGCCCAGCAATGTGGATTTCTAATCAAGCAGTCAATCAAGTGATAGGCCTGTTGTGAAGCCAGAGGGCACAGTGAACAAGCTCTTTGGGGCTGGGTAACAAGCAGCCCATTGCCCTCAGGAGCTGTGGTTCTTAGCCAGTCCTCCCTCCTGGGTGTCCCTGGGCTGAGTCCCCAGGCGAGGAGGCCAAGTGTCTTGCTTGCATAATTTCAGAACTGACTAGAGACAGTTGGGGGAACATCAGGGTTTTGGAGGTAAGACAGTGTGGTGGGGCAGGCAGTGACTGGCATGTTCTTCTCCCCAGTGGACGATGCCGTGATGGACAATGTGAAGCAGATCTTTGGCTTTGACAGTAACAAGAAGAACTTGGTGGACCCCTTCATGGAAGTCAGTTTTGCAGGGAAAATGGTAAGAAGCAAGGGTGCAGGAGGGTTCTCGGGGCGGGGGTGGTCGTGACTGCGGGGCGCCCCTTGGATGGGTCAAGTGCCAGACAAAGTGAGGCATCCCCATCAGAGGCAGGTGCACACGGAGGGGCTGATCCTGGGATGTGCCGTGAGACACTCACATGGGCCTGGCACTCTATGGCTGCCACCCACATGCATGTGGACAGGTCTGCCTGGGGTGTCTCACACAAACACATAGGTGTGGATGGACCCGGAGAGGACAGATGGACAGTGGATAGAGGAATATTTGCAGGGAAATGAAGCAATAGCATGGAAATCTGATGGGAAGCCATAAAGCCAGGGAAACTTTTTTTTTTAAGTGTGTGACAAAAACATAATGATTATTTTTAAAAAGTTGTGGCCGGAATTGGGCAGAGAAAGACTCTCTGATGGTTACCATAAGGATCACTCATACATTCTCCTCTTTCTCTGCAGCCCATCTTCCTGCCCAGAGGCAGGGCTATCCCTCCCTCCAGTCCCCGTTGATTTCTGTCCCAGACCCTATTTCCTTACAGGCTGCACCCCCCAGCATTTGTGTGCCCACCCTACAGGCTCTCCTACAGCTTTGGCCACACGCAGGCTTCGGCCATCACCTCTCTGCAGGGTTCCCCACAGCTCTCTAGCTCTGATCCCTCCCTTCAACCCCAGACCTCTCCATACTTCTGAACAGCTCTGCCTGCTGCCCTCATGCCTTTAAAGGAGTCATTTTCTCTGCCCGCCAACCCGCCCCACTTCGAGGAGCCTCCTTCTTAACCAGGTACCACCATCAAAGACAGAAAATTCGGGCCTGCCCTGATTCTTCCCTCTTTTTCCTCTCTCCACATTGAATATGCCACCTCTAGCTCTTGCCTTCAAACATGTCCCCAAGGCCCATCCTTGCCTCTGCCCCCACAGCCACTGCCATATCTTCCCAGGACTACACAACAGTCCCCACCTCCCATTTTCCTCATCTCATGGCACTGAATTTTTGATGAGCCCAGGCCATTTGTCCAAGTCCTAGATTTGTCCCACTGTCTCCTCTGGTGGTATTTAACTTGTTTCTCTGGCTCCTGGATTTCCTATAAACTAGAAGTTAAGCCTAGAGATCTGATTAGATTCAGATTAAGTATTTTGGCAAGAACTCGTCATAGGTGATGTTCCATATGTCATATTACATCACAACAGGAAGCAATAACGTCAGGCTGTCCCATCATCTGTGGTGATCATCTGGTCACTTGGTTAAGGCAGTGCCTCCAGATCTCTCCCTTATAAAAGTAAATATTCTTCCTCTGTAATTAGTAAGTGATGTGTGAGTGATATCTTGGCGCTGTGCAGATATCCTATTTCTCAGCAACCTCTTACCTAATGGTCTAAGCACCCATTGACCTCCTTGCCTGAACAGGTCATTTACCTGGGGTTGCAATGTGGTGGTTTTGTCATTATCATTTTTTCCCTCTTTACCAGCTGGCATTTTTCTGTAAAGAAGAGCTTTGTTCCCCCTGCCCCTCTGAGTGTTACCATGGACCTCGTTAAGTTTTAGTTCATCAAGTTAGAATCAGTCCTCATTGCGTTAGATGCACGAATTGTCCTGACGCTGGCCATCGGGAGCCCCTTCTAGCTGGCTGCTCCATCCCCAGAGTCTAGCACAGGCTCTCAAAGAAAATGTATGTAGGGAAGGCAACACGGATTTTAAACTCATTCACATGGACTGTAAGTGCTCATTGCAGATCCTTATCCAAATGCAGGTTTTGTTCTGGGCTTGTGTCTGGCCTCAGGTGGGGCTGGGACAGATGCACGAAGGCAGGAAGGAAACAGGAAGGCACGGCTGGACAGTTTTGTGGGACACTTGCTCCAAGGGCTATGATCCATTTTTCCACTTGACAGATGGGAAAAGCCCTGTCCTGAGATTCTTTTTATCCCATATTCCCAGTGTGGTAGGGTGCTGTCATGCTGTCTATAAGTAAGACCAACTTGCCTTCAAGTTCACTGCTTTCCTTGGAGCTAAGTCTCAGAGCTCTGGAGCTTCTGGCTGCTCCTGGGTCCTTGCCAGCACCGTGGTCTCCCAGGTTCTCTGTTCTGAGATGCCCTTGCTGGTCTGGGGATTTTTCTATGAATGTACAAATGTCTAAGGGAAGTGATGGAGGTGAGGCATGTGGCCAGGGAACTATATACAGTGAGCCAGTGGCCAGGCTCAAGCAAGAAGCTGCAGCCCCCATTTTCCCTCTAGAAGGAGGTGGAGGTGGCGGGAGTTGAATGAGCTTATAGTGAAGGAGGAGGTGAAACCTGCCCCCTTAAAAGCTTCAACCTGATCAGCTTCCTCTGGTGGTCTCCTCTCTGGCTTGAGCAACTTCCTTGTGGCCTCCCCCCGACCCTCATTGCCTGTCCCTCTCTCTTAGCCTTCTATGTGTCGCTTTTTTCTCATTGTATCCTAATCTGAAGAGCCCTGGGGTTTTGTCCTCTAGCCTGGCTGTCTTTGCATTTCCTCTTACGGACACTGGGTGTCACTATTGTCCAAGATGTGAATCATACTGATGTGACCAAGTTACTAAGGGGAAAGGAGGGTGTGTGTGTGCTCCTGTGGTGGCACATGAGCACTTCATGGTATGGGAGAAGGAAAGGGGAGGTGCTTGTAGGACAGCGCAGGAGATTTTAAAGCAAAATTTTTCTCCCTTGAATTCAAGAAAAAAACCCATTAATTGTAAAAAAAAAAAAAAAAAAAGAAAAGAAAAAAAATAATCAGAGAAAAGGAAAAGAAACAAACAAAAAAATCCCATATTTCTGTAATAACCCCCCCCCCCGAGATAACTACTGTTTGGTTAACATTTGTATGTATTTCCTTCTAGTATGTTTTCTCTCTTTGGCTCTCACTTTCCCTGGTCCACTGCCTCTGCCTGCTAGAAAAAAATTGGATTCGGATTACAGTTGATCTTTGTTATTCACAGATTCTGTATTTGCGAATTTGCCTATTTGCTAAAATTTATTTGTAACCCTAAAATCAATTCATTTTTTTTTTGTGCCGGGTAAGGGGATCGTAACCCTTGGCTTGGAGTTGCCTGCACTGCGCTCAGCCAGTGAGAGCACCGGCCATCCCTATATAGGATCCGAACCCGCGGCCGCGGCGCTCCCAGCGCCGCACTCTCCCGAGTGAGCCACGGGGTCGGCCCTAAAATCAATTCTTGTGGCACTTTCATGGTCATTTGCGGACACGTGCGGAGCTGAAAACAATCTGTGTTGCCTGACGTGCGTGTTGGTTGCTGAGGTTGAACAAAGTGGCCCTGTGCCTCCTTGTTTCCGCTCTCACACACTGTAAACAAGTGTCCTTTCCTCGGTCTATTTAGTGCCATGTTTTTTTTTTTGCATTTTTCGGCTTTTTGTTGGCAGTTTCACTGTAGTGAATAATCTCTTGCATATGTCACTCTGTGCATGTGCAAGTATTTCTATAGGATAAATGTCTAGAGGTGGAATTGGTAAGTCAAAGGGAATATGCACTTGAAATTATGATAGATAATGGCCAGTTGTCCTCTGGAGGGGTCAAACTATTTCGTTTTCCTGAAATCCGAGAGTGCGGTTTTCCCATAGCCTTGCCAACAGTGGGCTGTTAGACTTGGGAGATTTTTACAAATCCGACGAATGAGAAATGGTACCTCATTAGTTTTATTTGTGTTTCTTTTTGTTATGAGTGAGGTTGAGCATCTCTTTATATGCTTTATAGCCCTTGAACTGTCCATTCCCATGAACTGTCTATCCCATCCTTACTGGATTGTTGGTCTCTCTTCTTTCCTTCCTCCGCCCTTTGCTGATACAAGGGCCCAATCCTGACGACCACCCCTGCCCCCAGCCCTGTGCAGCCTTTGCCTGGGCTCTTTTTACAGCAAGGAGGGGGAAGGCGGGAGCAGGGGCTGGCACTGGGAGGACTAGGAATGGAGGCAAAGTCCTCTCCCCATGGAGGATGTCCTGATCTGAGTCAGATGCTCGTTAAATGAGATAATGCACACGAAATGCTTAGTGTGATGCAGGGCCCGTGGTAAATGCTCTGAAAAGGGCTGCTTGTTATTTCTATGTTAGAATATGCAAACCTACCAGGATATGTCTGAAACTGTCTTTACCTGCTATCCCCAGGTGTGGTTACAGGATACCCTGGGTCTGGCTGAGAGGTCTGGTGCTCCCCATAGACTCCAGGAGCAGAGCTGGCACATGAGCTGCTGGTTTGGATCTAGTTACCACTTTCCTGCTAGGTTTCCTTTTGTGAAAAGCCAGTCTGTAGGGCAGGGCTTGTCTGAGGCAGAATGTGGGTTTGTATAGATAGGGATTGTGTCTTCACTGAATTTTCTTTTACTCTCAGATACAGGTGCTTGACCCCAGCCTTCCCCTCCCTCTTCCCCTCGCCCCCATCTCTGATTGTCTAGGGCTCACGATCTTCCAAAATGGCAGATAATCTGGGTCGATGGGCAAAGGGGAGTGTCTTGGGCTATAAGGGCCTCTGGGAAAGCCAGTCTGGACTCAGAGCTCCCACTTTTAGGGTCATGGCCATAACAGGAGGTGGGGGAGAGGGATTTCCAGCCAGAGGTACAAGTTCAGGGTAGAAGGGCTGTGGCATTCAGACAACTTACCCACCCCTATCTACTCCCCAACTCTGGGCCTGACCTTCTATTGAGCTTGGTCTCTGCAAAGACTTCCTGTGTCCAAGCCTAGCCCTAGGGCAGCCAGCGTGGCAGAGGATGGCCATTGGCTAGTGTGGTGGTCCCTGAGGGAGCCCAGGGTCCCCATGACTCTTGACTCACCTGTCCTCTGTGTCTTCCAGCTCTGCAGCAAGATCCTGGAGAAGACGGCCAACCCTCAGTGGAACCAGAGCATCACGCTGCCTGCCATGGTGAGCCTGGCCCTCCCACCAGCCCACCCCAGGAGGTCCCTGACTCCCCAGCATCCTGCGTGCATCCTGGACTTCTGCTTGGAGGAGGGGTTATGACTTTCTTCAAAGGGACTCTATGCCTAATATGCCTCTCTTCCCTTCTCAGTTTCCCTCCATGTGTGAAAAAATGCGGATTCGTGTCATAGACTGGTAAGTTCCGAGTCTCAGAGTCTTTAGTGGGGGCTATCTTTTTTTTTTTTTTAAAGATGACCGGGTAAGGGGATCTTAACCCTTGACTTGGTGTTGTCAGCACCACGCTCACCCAGTGAGCTAACCGGCCATCCCTATGTGGGATCCGAACCCACGGCCTTGGTGTTGTCAGCACCACGCTCACCCAGTGAGCTAACCGGCCATCCCTATGTGGGATCCGAACCCACGGCCTTGGTGTTGTCAGCACCACGCTCACCCAGTGAGCTAACCGGCCATCCCTATGTGGGATCCGAACCCACGGCCTTGGTGTTGTCAGCACCACACTCTCCAGAGTGAGCCATGGGCCGGCCCTAGTGGGGGCTATCTTGAGGGGTCACTGGCCCTTCAGTTTCGTTCAGCTCAGTCTGCACGTAGTGAGAGAGGACGTTTCTGGTGAGCTGGTCTCCCCTGGGGGAGGCCGGGGAGGGGAGGGTGTGGGTAGTTCTTGGGAAGCTTACTCATGGCCCTGCTTCCTTGCTGTGAGGCAGGACATCCGCACTGAAGCTGGCAGATAAGCAGGGCACAGGTGGGTAGGGCTGTGAGGAATCCATCCCCGAGGGCAGGAGTGGTGGGAAGGCTTCCTGGAGGAGGCGGGGCAGGGGTGGCCTGGCAGGAGGCGTGGGGCGAGGGCATTCCAGCATTCCGGTGAGGAGAGGATTGTAAGACCAGGCAAGGAGGCTGCAAAGAGCAGAACTTCTGGGAGGACGGCCGTGGTGCCCCTGTGGGTTGGTAGAATGGAAGGGAAGGACGCCAGGCTGGGAAGTGGGCCACGTTGCCCAAGCAGGGGAGGGAGCAGGTGAGGACAATAGCCCATGGGCATCTTAGAAAAATAACCGTTCCTAACACTGGTTGAGCACCTACTGTATGCCAGGCCCTGTGCCCAGCAAGCACTCAGCATGCATGATCTCATCTGGCCCTCGACTCCATGGCATAGTCCTACTTCACAGGTGAGGAAGTAGGTTGGGGGAGATTGAGTGACCTGCTTGAGGTGACAGCCGGAAAGTAGCCAAGGCCAGGCTTGAGGCCAAGCCTGGGGCTCCCAAAGTCTGTGTTCTTAACTATTAGGCCATGCTGCCTCCTGCTGTGCTGAGGCGATTTCTCCTGCACTTGAGGGGGATGATAGGGACCCACACATGTGACCTCCACGACACCAGCCTTTCCAAAAAGAGAGAGTTGTCCTTTCTGTGCCCCGAAAAGTCTTGGCTGTGTGGTTCCCCAGCGTGTTCGCCTTTGGTCTCAGGCCCATGGCACCCCCAACCAGGAGGATAATGAGAGACTAGGGAAAAACCCCCAGGCCACAGAGCCATTAAAGTGTGTGCCAGTTCCCCAGGCCTAAAGAAAACAGCTTGTGAGAATTAGAGGAGAGGAAAGGGAGCAGCCAGGGGGCCTGGGGGAGAGGCCTCTTGGGCCGCGACCACGGGTATGTACCGCTGGGAAGCGGTTTGGAGGAGAGACGTCCTTTGCATCCCAGAACGATCTCTTCATCTCAGCTTGCAATGTGTGTGTGTTGCACTGACTGTGGGCCATCGGCTGTGCGTGTCCGTGCGTGTTTGTGCATGTGGATGCTTGTGGGTGCGGCTGTCCCATGTGTTGTGGATGTGTCTGGCCCGAGGCCGTGTGAGCTGTGTCACGGGCATCAGCATACTGTACAATCCAAACACATTACAGAATCTGGTGGTTGCGTCTCTGGTTTGGGTTGAAGTGGCATTTTTATTGTGAGTCTATTTTCAGACTTGCTGTATTTTCCAAAAGCAACCCCAAGCCCCAAAACCCAACTCTTGGCCAGAAAGCATTCTGCTGCTGGAAGTCCCTATCCAGAAAAGTGCTTTCTTCCCAGAAAATGCAGATAAACTTCTGTTATTACCTGGAAATATGACATAGCCCATAAGGCCTTTTCTCTGTAACTTAATCTTCCAGTCAATTCTTTAAAAATAACTTTTTCATTAAAAACAAAAAAATCCCCAAATCCACCCCCACCTCCATAAAAGCAAAATGTCTCTGATTCTCCCCTCTCTTCGGATTCGGATAAGACCAGAGGTCAGAAACCCAATTCCTCTTCAAGTGCTTGTCTTTTCTAGGGCTTGGTCATGAAGGCAGTTGAAAATTCCATCAACAGTCAGTTATCTGGTGTCGACAATCTCACTGTATGATGTTCAAGAACATTTTTAACATCTTCACCAGGAAAAATGATAAAGATTTGCACTGACCATTTACCCTTCCAAGTACAGCCCCTGTCTTGATGTAAACTTTAAAATCAAAGCTTCATTATCTCCCTGTGAAACACAAAGAGGAAGGAAGGGAGCAGCAGAGATTGGTGTTAGGATTTAAAAAAATAAAATCACTGTGCCCAGGTGTGTCTTTCACAGTAGGGCTGGGTACACCATTCCCTGAAGCCACCATAGTCAGGGTACTCACGGCCGGGAGAGAGGGCCTCAGGGGCACTGAGAAGAGGGAAAATGCTCCAGAGGAGTTTCCTAAAGGAGATAGGTCTTGCCAGCCCAGTGTTTTCCAATCTTAGCATTATTGACATTTAGGGCTGGAATATTCTTTGCTGTGGGGGACCATCTTGTGCATTGTAGCATGTTTAGCAGCAATCATAGCCTCTACCCACTAGATGCCAGTAACACTCCCTTCTCACACCAAAAATGTCTCCAGACATTGCCAAATGTTCCCTGGGGGTCAAAACCATTGGGTTGAGAACCCCAAGTCTAGCCTGCCAAGGAAGCAGCAGGTTGCTACAATCAGAGCTCTGGTTTCCATGCCAGCATATCTGGCCTCAAATCCCAGTTTTGCCATCTTGGCAAATTATTTAACCTCCTAAATCTCAGCTTCCTCATCTGAAAGTGAGGCTAATTGTAGTACCTACCTGATAGGGCTCAGGTGAGGATCCAGTGAGCTAAGTCCCATGACAGCTCTGCAGGTGCTCAATAGACATTAGCTACTGCTGTTTACTATTATCAAGGGGGGCAGATGTGGGGCACAGAGGGAGGGTCTGCCCTGGTGTTGTTGGCTAATGGGTTGATCAATTAATTAGTCTCCTTGAGCTTCTATCGACAGCCCCCTGTGCTGGTTGGGGAGGGAGAAGCCATCCTCCTGAGAAGCAGGACAGGCCCTGTACCATGCCCTGGATCCCCGTGTCCCATGACACAAACACCAGACCAGGGTTCAGTCCCTCCCTGGCTGACCTTGGCCAAGTACCTTCATGGCTCCGAGCTCAGTTTTCTCATTGGTGCAACAGAGATGATGATAAAAGTACTTGTTTCTCAAGGCTTTTGTGGGGCTCCTGTGAGATGATGGTTAAAGGTGCTTTGTCACATAGAAAGTCAGATACAAAAAGGAGTCATGCATTAGCATTGGCTAATTCACGACTGTGGTCTTGAAGATAGTTTCTTCCTGGTACCTGGTTTTCTCCTTGACCTGGATATTTCTTTAGCCTGTAGAGCCTCACCTCTCCCTGGGCATAGGCATCTGGCTCCCTGAACAGTCTGCTGCTCCCTGCCCCACCTCCCCGCCTGTGTGCCCACAGAGATCCAGGCAGGCGGCCCAGTGTTGGTTGGCTGAGGGGATGCTGATGGCCAGCGAGAAGGATTAGTTCCCTCTAGGGCAGTCGTGAGCCAAGCTTTCTGTCCAGTCTCTTCTTCCCTAGGATTACCAGGTCTCAGTCACATACCCAGTGTGAAACTGGGACCTCCAACGATGTGGAGCCTCGGCTACTTCCCTCCTGGTTGGGCTGTGGCCTTCCACCCCCGCCCTTGTTCAGGTCCTCTCTACCCCGTGCTCTAGGGATCGCCTCACTCACAACGACATCGTGGCCACCATCTACCTGAGTATGTCGAAAATCTCTGCCCCTGGAGGAGAAATAGAAGGTACGTTCCACCTTTGTGCTGCCTCCAGCCCCACATGCTGTCCCCATCCCACCTCTATCCGTCCTTCACCCCTAGCTTTCAGAGTTTGCAGAAGAGGGAAGATCATAAAGCCTTTTCTGCCCATTTTCCATGGAGAAGGGCTCTGGCCAGTGAGAGAGACGGCGTGCAGACGATTCCCCGCACTCAGAGGGTGGGGATACACCACTGAATGGTGCAAAGAGAATAATTCGCTCGTGCAGATAATTCCAGTGGCTGCTGCCACACCGTCCACTGTGTTCTACATGGGCCGACTGTGCTCTAGCAGTTTCCATTTTGAAACAGCTTTCATTGGCCTATTAAAAAGTAACCCAATATCATTTCATAAAATTTTAAATTAATAAGTAATCTGAAAGAAGGATATAAAACTTATCTATGATATAACCCATAAGCCCACCCATCCAGGCAAGATCTAACTATGAACATTCTGGGACTTTTCTGTATGTATGTATGTATATGGACGTGCATATGTATGTATGTCCACATACATGGATATGTACATATATACATTAAAAATAAATTGTTTTTGAAAGTTGTTTTTTGTCACTTTGCAATACAACATAGATTTATTAAATGTTATTATTAAAAGTTCTGTAATACAATTTTGAATGAATACACATATTCTGTTATGTGAATGTATCATAACCCACATGAATGAGTTAATATTGAATATTTAGGTTTTCTACATTATAAGCAACTAGCTTTGCAATAAAAATTTTTGTAGCTGGGCCGAGCCCGTGGCGCACTTGGGAGAGTGTGGAGCTGGGAGCGCAGCTAGCGCTCCCGCCGCGGGTTCGGATCCTATATAGGGATGGCTGGTGCGCTCACTGGCTGAGCGCGGTGCGGCCGGTCTCACAAAAAAGACAAAAAAAAAATTTTTTTTTTTTGTAACTGAATCTTTATATCATTCATGAGTTTCCTTTTGG